CTGCTGTTGGTCAGGTGGCCCTTAAAGTCTCCCTCCTAGTTCTTGGAGCATTTAGTCACTCCCTACCATCAGGCATGGACCAGGGCCACTGTGTGCTTATGGAATGAAAGTGAGAAAATCCTGCTTCTTTTCCTGTAATATCCCTCCTATTTATCAGTTTTAACAATCCTGGGAATTTGTAGATTGCTCTCGGGAAACATTTTGTCTTTCAGAAAAGCAAATGGCAAAGCTTTAGCTTTAAATTCACAAGGTTTCTGCGTATCTCTACACCAGCACCACGGAAAGGAACCATGGAAAGGTTGAGGGATTTTGCCTTAAGATATTGTCTCGTAGTGATCACCCTTAACAATGCCTTTTTCCCTCCTAGGTGATTCCAGATATTGCTTGTGGGAATGCCAGTTCTAACAGCTCTGCAGGGGGACGCCTGGTATCCTTTGAAGTGCCACAGAACACCTCAGTGAAGTAAGAAAATTGTCATTTAAAAACCATTAAGATTGGGCCAACAGGTAATTAAGGCAGCTGGATCCCACACGGCTGACTTCATGGTTCGAGTCCTGGGCCTAATGGTTTCAAAAACTTGCTGGGCATGTGTGTGTGCCTGCCCAGAATCCCAAAGAGAGTGGAGGGAGAGGAAGGGATTGTGGCAGAGGGTGCTTTTTCACATTCTCCTCTCTGTGTGTGTCTCTGGCGAGTGCATAGCAAAAATGAAAAACAAAAACAAAATTAACATTGCCCCTTACCTGGACGTAGGGTTGTGTCTATCCAGGCAGCTAGGCAGTCCAGTGAAAATTAGGAATGAGTTCCAAGTGTAGATGTGGCTCATGTCACTCAAAAACTAGAGGACACCGTTTCAGAAGAAGTCACTGCAGTTAGGACTCTGTCAACCTGAAGATATGGAATTGGGAAATTGAATTAGATGAGTCTGGTGTGAGGTAAGAAACTCCAGGGCCTCCGATAAAATCCAGAGCCCAGTGCCTCATCTCCCAAATGAATTTTGCTCCTTAAATTGTTGTTGTCTTACACTTTAATGGTCCATTGGTTAAATTCATATATAATTTACTCCCAAATTACAATCCATGTATTACCAAGTTCTCTTTAAAAGCAAGCCACTTTTTGTTTTCTTTCAAATGTAAGCTCT